CATTTATGTACCGTATTGCATGACCGTGCAATTGTCCGTTAAACTTGCGCAGCGCTGTATAGCAGAAAAATGGCATAAGTTGCAGTATTTATACCATAGTTTGTAGACGCTATAAATTCCACACAAAGCAATCAATATACACTCATTGGGATTTTTTTTACCAAAAACATGTAGCAGAATACATTTTGGCCTAATTTATAACCAACTTTGAGTTTACTATATATTTTTTATAGCTGAAAGTAAAAAATATTGTTTTTCTTCAAAATTTTTGCCCTTTTTATGTTTATAGCGTGAAAAATAAAAAGCGCACAGATGATCAAATACCGCCAAAAGAAAGCTCTATTTGTGTGAAAAAAAGGATGTAAATTTCGTTTGGGTGCAGCATTGCATGACCGCGCAATTATCAGTTGAATTAGTGCAGTGCCGAGTAGCAAAAAGAGGCCTGGTCATTAATGGGGGTAAATCCTCTGGAGCTCAAGTGGTTAAGTCCAGGGTCAATGCAGCCATCTACCAGGAGATTTTGGAGCACTTCATGCTTCCTTCCGCAGACGAGCTTTATGGGGATGATGACTTCATTTTCCAGCAGGACTTGGCACCTACCCACACTGCCAAAAGCACCAAAACCTGGTTCAATGACCGTGGGATTACTGTGCTTGATTGGCCAGCAAACTCGCCTGACCTGAACCCCATAGAGAATCTATGGGGCATTGCCAAGAGAAAGATGAGAGACATGAGACCGAACAATGCAGAAGAGCTGAAGGCCACTATTGAAGCATCCTGGTCTTCCATAACACCTCAACAGTGCCACAGGCTGATAGCTTCCATGCCACACCGCATTGAGGCAGTAATTGCTGCAAAAGGGGCCCAAACCAAGTACATACAGTGAGGAACAGAAGTATTTGAATACCCTGGGATTTTGCAAGTTCTCCCACTTAGAAATCATGGAGGGGTCTGAAATTCACATTGTAGGTGCATTCCCATTCTGAGAGACAGAATTAAAAAAAAAAATTCAGGAAATCACATTGTATGATTTTTAAAGAATTTATTTGTCTTGCACTGCTGAATATAAGTATTTGAACACCTGAGAAAATCAGTGTTAATATTTGGTACAGAAGCCTTTGTTTGCAATTACAGAGGTCAAACGTTTCCTGTAGTTCTTGACCAGGTTTGCACACACTGCAACAGGGATTTTGGCCCACTCCTCCACACAGATCTCCTCTAGATCTGTCAGGTTTCGGGGCTGTCACTGAGCAACTCGGAGTTCCAGCTCCCTCCAAAGATGTTCTATTGGATTTCGGTCTGGAGACTGGCTAGGCCACTCCAGGACCTTGATATGCTTCTTACGGAGCCACTCCTTGGTTATCCTGGCTGTGTGGTTCGGGTCGTTGTCATGTTGGAAGACCCAGCCACGACCCATCTTCAGTGCTCTGACGGAGGGTAGGAGGTTGTTGCTCAAAATCTCACAATAAATGGCCCCATTCATCCTCTCCTTAATACAGTGCAGTCGTCCTGTCCCCTTCGCAGAAAAGCACCCCCAAAGCATGATGTTATCACCCCCATGCTTCACAGTAGGGATGGTGTTCTTGGGATGCAACTCATCCTTCTATTTCCTCCAAACACAACGAGTGAAGTTTGGACAAAAAAGTTCTACTTTGGTCTCATCTGACCACATGACTTTCTCCCATGCCTCCTCTGGATCATCCCAGATGGTCATTGGCAAACTTCAGACGGGCCTGGACATGTGATGACTTGAGCAGGGGAACCTTCCGTGCAATGCATGATTTGAAACCATGACGGCGTAGTGTTCTACCGACAGTCACCTTTGAAACTGTGATCCCAGCTCTCTTCATTTCATTGACCAGCTCCTCCCTTGTAGTTCTGGGCTGATCCCTCACCTTTCTTATCATCAGTGATACCCCACGAGGTGAGATCTGGCATGGAGCCCCAGTCTGAGGGAGACTGACAGTCGTCTTTAGCCTCTTCCATTTTCTAACAATTGCTTCAACAGTTGATCTATTTTCACCAAGCTGCTTGGCAATTGCCCCGTAGCCCTTTCCAGCCTTGTGGAGATCCACAATTTTGTCTCTGGTGTCTTTTGACAGCTCTTTGTTCTTGCCCATGGTAGTACTTGGCATCTGACTGACTGTGGGGTGTCTTTAAAGAGCTCAGACAGGTGCTACTAAGTTAGATTAATGAGTGGAGTAGAGGTGGACTTTTTAAAGGCACAGTAACAGGTCTTTGAGAGCCAGAATTCTTGCTGTTTCTTAGGTGTTCAAATACTTACAGTTGTGACCAAAATTATTCAACCCCCACTGAAATTGAGTGTTTTGGCCAGTTTGACATTGCTTTTGATCATTCAGTCATCTTGCTTACATTTACATTAAAGAGGCACTTGTAGGTCAGACAAATATAACATAACAGTTATAATGAAATAACCACAAATGTCTTTTCTGTGCTCACAGCATTATCAGTTTTATTCAACCCCCAAGTGACATTCAATCTTAGTACTTAGTACAGCATCCTTTTACAGTTATAACAGCTTTTAAACGTGAAGCATAGCTTGACACAAGTGTCTTGCAGCGATCTACGGGTATCTTCGCCCATTCTTCATGGGCAAAGGCCTCCAGTTCAGTCACATTCTTAGGCTTGCGCACTGCAACTGCTTTCTTTAAGTCCCACCAGAGGTTCTCAATCGGATTTAAGTCTGGTGACTGCGATGGCCACTCCAAAATGTTCCAGCCTTTCCTCTGCAACCATGCTCTAGTGGACTTGGAGGTATGCTTGGGATCATTGTCCTGTTGAAAGGTCCAACGTCTCCCAAGCCTCAGGTGTGTGACGGACTGCATCACGTTTCCATCCAATATCTCCTGGTACTGAAGAGAATTCATGGTACCTTGCACACGCTGAAGCTTCCCTGTACCTGCAGAAGCAAAACAGCCCCAAAGCATGATTGACCCTCCACCATGCTTCACAGTAGGCAAGGTGTTCTTTTCATCATAGGCCTTGTTCTTCCTCCTCCAAACATAGCGTTGATCCATGGGCCCAAACAGTTCTAATTTTGTTTCATCAGTCCACAGAACACTATCCCACAACTTTTGTGGTTTGTCCACATGGCTTTTGGCATACTGCAGTCGACTCTTCTTATTCTTTGGAGACAGCAAGGGGGTACGCCTGGGAGTTCTGGCACGGAGGCCTTCATTACGCAGTGTGCGTCTTATTGTCTGGGCTGAAACTTCTGTACCCACATCTGACAAATCTTTTCTCAGTTCCTCAGCAGTCACACGGGGACTTCTCTCCACTCTACGCTTCAGGTAGCGCACAGCAGTCGAAGTCAGCATCTTCTTTCTGCCACGACCAGGTAGCGTTTCAACAGTGCCCTTTGCCTTGAATTTGCGAATGATGCTTCCTAAGGTGTCTCTTGGTATGTTTAACATCTTTGCAATCTTCTTATAGCCATTGCCCTTCCTGTGAAGAGAAATCACCTCTTCTCTTGTCTTCCTGGACCATTCTCTTGCCTTCACCATGTTTGTAACCACACCAGTAAATGTCTAGAAGGAGCTGAGTATCACAGTCATTTTAAAGCTGCCTAATTGGTGCTTATTATGCTTGATTGCTGCTCGGTGACATCCACAGGTGTTTTCAATACCTGATGGAAAGCACCTGTATGAACCTCTGTTCTTCAGAGTGGTAGTCTTTAAGGGGTTGAATAATTGTGGCAATGAAGAAACCACATAAGAACCATTTACTACTGTATTACATAAACAATTGATGTCATTTTAGTTGCATTTGGGTAGTTACAACGTCCTTGTAGGATTTGATTCTGAATACAATTCCAAATGTACACTATAGTCCCTAAACCCCTTTACAGCATTGGGGGTTGAATAATTTTGGTCACAACTGTATGTTCAGCAGTGCAAGACAAATAAGTTCTTTAACAATCATACAATGTGATTTCCTGAATTTTTTTTTTTATTCTGTCTATCAGAGTGGGAATGCACCTACAATGTGAATTTCAGACCCCTCCATGATTTCTAAGTGGGAGAACTTGCAAAATCGCAGGGTGTTCAAATACTTCTGTTCCTCACTGTATGCATGCTTATACTTTTCAGAGATCCGATATTATTCTATGTACAATCCTTGTTTTATTGATTGCATGTATTATTCTAATTTTCTGAGATTGTGGATTTGGGGTTTTCATGAGCAGTAAGCCATAATCATCACAATTATGACAAATCACGGCTTGAACTATCTTGCTTTGCATGTGATGAGTCTATCTCATATATTAGTTTCACCTTTTAATTTGCATTAGTGAAATAAATGAACTTTTGCATGATATTCTAATTTTTCGAGTTTCACCTGTATATGCGGTGCGGTATATCGCATGTGATTCGCACAGGAACATTTTGTATGGCTCTAATCACACCCGCACCCGCATCAAAAACGTGCAGGACCCTTTTTTTGGTCCGCACTATAATCAGATGGCATGGGTATTCACAGCAATGCAATCCGATTCTGTACATCGCACCACTTTTTGCTTACCGCTTTTGGGGTGTTGTTAACATATACGCCCACAGTGGAAACGGTGTGCGATTCTGATGCGGTGCGGAATTCGCACAGAAAACGCTGCGCATTCCGCACCGCATCAGTATGAACCAGGGCTAAAACCTGGTTTCCAGTTTTTCACTGACTCTCTCTAACATGAACAAGAGGGTATCCCTCGAGGCCCAGGGTCTGCCTTCTTGGACTTGTTGAATGCAGTCTGGTCTTGTAAATTCACTGGCCCTTCCTACTGCATTTTGTTCTTTTTTCCTATCCATTCTTACATAATCCACAGGGCTGCATCCCTGATACATGGTTTCATCCTGCTGGCTCTGGTCATTTCGCTAAAAAAATAAATACCTTAAGTGGGAATAACTAGCTCTGACCAGCCAATAATCTTTATTGTGCTAAACTATCAATGCTTAATTTCCTGTGTTTTAAAGCTGTTCCTTGTCTTTTAGGTACAAACAACATAAGACAGATTTTAAGGAGCTTCCTAAGGAGCGCCCCATTCACTTGCCTTGTAAAGTCAGTAAATGCCAGTGCAAGTCCTATCACTATGTCCCTCTGAATGGGTCGCAGCCTATTCGCTGCAGGTGCAAGCACGTTGCTGATGACCACACTCCAGCTGCGTCCTACCACTGCACAAAATGTAAGAAGTGTATTCCTGTTGTCTAATCCATAGTCTTATTGTGTAGTTCTGTTCATTCCTTTGTTTCTCATAAGATGGTTTTATAGGCACGGTATGCCAGCTTTTTTCTGTTTAAAACAAAAAACACAAGAAATAATTATCTTCCTTTCCTGATCATAGTAGGTGTCATGTTTTGCAAATATGACCATGTGTCAGAAAATCTTTCTATTGTCTTTAGAGTGTTACTAAGCCCAGAACCCTGCATTCACTATATCCGGTCTTCCACAGTACACAGAAAATGGAAAGTCAATTATTTTAGTAAATATAAACTGCTAAATACCTTTTCTCATCAGCAGTATATAGCAGTTTCGTGACTTCTGTCAGTGTCCAGCCAATCACTGGTTAATCTTGTAGGAGAAGTTTTCCTTCACATGGATTTTTAGTTTGCATACATTGCAATACATATTTAAAGTGGTTGTAAACCCTAGCCATGAAGTCTGAACAAAGCTCATACTTCTATAGTGTTTACGTGCCTCTCTCCAAAGCACTTAGTGTACTTTCCCTTCTGTCTAGTTTCTCTGATATCAGCATGAGTCAATTCTAACTTCAAGTTTTCCTGATGCCAAAAGAAAAATGGTGGCACAGGGGGGAGTTCCAGCTGATTGACAGTCTCAGCTCTGTTTCTGTGTGCTGTGTGAAAGGGGGTGTGTCCCTTCCCTCCAATCAGCTCTCAGAGCTCTTGTACCGTGTGTAACTGCAGCTCCCTAACCCCCTGCTTTGTGAGTCTGTGAAAAACCCTTTTCATCTCTGAGTTTTACAAGGATGTACAGGATAAGCAGCTGCACATAAACAGGTACAACTGATGTAGGCCCTTTTCACACGGGCGTTCCGTATGTCCGTTTTTCATCTGTCAGTTTACGGATGAAAAACGGACACCCATGTATTTCTATGGATTTGCGGATGTAAATGGATGAACATCTTTTTACATCCGTTAATGTCAGTATCCGTTAACATCCGTTTTTTTGAACAGAAGAAAACCCTATTCTTCTGCCAAAAAACGTGGACCGAACAAAAAACGGATGTCAACGGATGTAAACGGATGAAAAACGGACCAAAAACTAATGAAAACAGATGAAAAACGGATCTAAATGGAGGAAATATGGATGTAAACCAATGTAAACAGATAAAAAAAGAATGTAAACGGACGAAAAAATTGATGTAAACTCATCCGTTTTTCTTTTCTGAAAGGACACATAGGAGGTTTTTTTTCACCTCTGTCTAGCACAGGGGTGGGCAAACTTTTTGACTTGAGGGCTGCAATGGGTTCATATATTGGGACCCGGGGGCCGGACCAAGAATAGATGAATGATGTGTATGTGTCATCCATAGTAAGTATAGTAATATTCCCCCATAGTAAGCATAGTAATTCATCCCCCATAGTAATTCATCCCCCATATAGTAATTCATCCCCCATAGTAATTCATCCCCCATATAGTAGTAATTCATCCCCCATAGTAATTCATCCCCCATATAGTAATTCATCCCCCATAGTAATTCATTCCCCATATAGTAATTCATCCCCCATAGTAATTCATCCCCCATATAGTAATTCATCCCTCATAGTAATTCATTCCCCATATAGTAATTCATCCCCCATATAGTAATTCATCCCCCATAGTAATTCATCCCCCTTATAGTAATTCATCCCCCATATAGTAATTCATCCCCCCTATAGTAATTCATTCCCCATATTAATTCATCCCCCATAGTACTATTCCCCCCAAGTAGTAAGCCAAGTCCCCCCTGTGTCAATTCACTTACCTTTGCTCCGCGCGTTCCTCTCGCCGTGTTCCCGCGCCGTTCCGGTCTTCAGGGCGGACTTTGAGAGAAGCCTAGCTCTCCTCACATTCGTCACACTGCCCCGCCTACACACATCCTGACAGCTCCGCGGGCCGGATTAAAAGGTCCGCCGGGCCGTATACGGCCCGCGGGCCGTAGTTTGCCCATTGCTGGTCTAGCATGTGAGGCTAGTCACCTCTGGGTATAGGTAAGGGTTTACAACCACTTTAAGCTGGCCAACTGCGTCAAAGTGATCCCTCTATAAGCCACAGATGGGGAACTTCCCCACTGTATATGTAAATAAACCCACCCCCTTGCCAAAAAGACACACCCACAACTGTGATGAGGCTATGTGGTCATGTGATAGAAAAATATAAGATTGAAAAAAAAGATTTTTAGGCAACAGAAATATGTACTATGTAATATACTATAATATATATAATGTAATACACAGTATGTAATTATATTTATTGTACTACAATGGACTCTTAATACATTGCGTTCACACATTCTTTAGGTCTGTTGCTTGCTTTGGTACCATACATTGATAAATAAGCTTCTCATTTTTAGTTATATAACAAAAGTAATGCAAAATATATGAAAAACAGTTCCCGTATGTAAATATATTGCATAACAAATGCCACAGTTTTTGTCTCCTGATAACCTAGTAAAATAAGCATCTGTTGACATTTCATTGATAACACTGATCTGAGAGAAGGAAAAACAAAAATATTTTCACTGTGCTTTCACAGCAAACACATGACCTGAAACTACTTATGAAATACGTTGGACTGCCTGCTTTGCAAAAAGGGGTCATTTGGGGGATAGCTGTACTGTTCTGACATTCTTGGACCTCAAGAAATTAGATTGGCTGTCAGTACTTCAGGATTGATCAATTTTCAGATATATCCCATAGTTTGTGAACTCTCTAACTTTCCTACAGACTAAATAATAAACACTGATTTGGATTTTTTTTACCAAAGAAATGTAGCAGAATACATCTTGGCCTAAATTTATGAAGAACAATTATTTATTTGCAAACTTTTATTATTTTCGGTCTTTTTTTGTTAATTTAGCAAAACATAAAAACCACAGTGTTGATCAAATACCACCAAAAGAAAGCTCTAGTTGTGTGAACAAAATGATAAAATTTTAGTTTGGGTACAGTGTTGCATGACCGCGCAATTGTCATTCAGTGTGTTTAGAGCGCTGAAACCTGAAAATTGGCCTGGGCAGGAAGGGGGTAAAAGTGCCGGTATTGAAGTGGTTAAACTGGGAAACCCTAGCATTATTAAATGGTAAATTGATGCATGTTTAAAATATAGACCTTTCTTTTGGTCACAAAGTGGAAATATATCCATACCAATATAAAATGTTTCAAACGAGATACTTTCACTTATTATAAGCTCCAGTGGCAGTTTTGCATGTGCTTTTAGAATGTTGTAAAAAAAAAAAAAAGAATATTAGGCTGGATATTCTGGTATGTATATATATTTACACTCTTCACACACATAACACAATGGATATGTACTTGCATGCGTTGTTGATCAAACAAGTCTGATCCTGTATTTGTAGCTATAAAGCTCTGTCTGTATGCAAGTTCAGTGTGTTTACAAGATCAGATTTTTTTATAACTATACTTGTACTTAGCATTAGACAACATGATCTATGACAAATGTGTACCTGATGTGCATACCATGTGGTGGTCTTGCACCTTTGTAAAACATTTCTATCATGCTGGATTGTGCATGCAATAGAAATTGCTTCAATATGGTCAGTTCAGAATCCAAGTTGATATTTGAAGACGGAAATGCCTATTAGCCTTACATGAGCCAGTTATTCTGCTCTTTAGTCTAATGTACTTCATATGACTTTGGCAACTAACCATGAAAAAGAGAGTGGCAATATGTATTATCAAGCAAAGCAATCCTGTTCTGGAGTCCTTAATGGTTATAAAAAGTCTATATTTTGTTTTGGGAAAATTCATACAGTAGACAGCTCACTTTTAGGTGGTATTCACCATGGACTTCCAGTAATGGCTATAATGATACCAAGTTCACAGCAAACTAAAGTAACCATCAATTCTGACGATGGATTCTAGAAGCCCCAATTCACACCTGAGCTTTTTTGCTTGTCACATGAAGCTCACAAATGTACATAATTTATTTGGGGTAGAGTCATGTGTTTTGGAAATATAGACTTTAATAGGAGCACCTGAAAAATGCATGTTTATGAAACATTTTTTCAATTGCTCTCATTTAAAAGTCTTTGGGGCCAAAAATACAAATTACACATAAAAATGCCTGTACAAACACACAAAAAAAGTCTGTTTATCACCCGATTAGACTCATTCTCAAGTGTAAACTGGGGCTTAGGATGTAAAATCTTAAACTGTACATAAGTGGTTCTAATTTTAACCTGTATAAGGAGCAACATTTTATGGAATTTATCCGGTTACTTTGGATTACAAGAAGCATATAGATTAAAATTTCAAGTCCTGACCTACTAGCCAGGCCTCAAGAGTTACTCGCCACCAACAAACACACACAAACAGAGACACCTGTACACACATAGACATGTACATACACATGGACACACACGCACAGAGACACATGTACACACACACACATACAGACACATGTATACACACACAGGCACATACAGACACGCATCCACACAGATACATGTACATACACAGAAATACAAATGCACAGACACATGTACACACAGACACATGTACACCATTGGTGTCAGTGTGGGGGTGGGGAAATAGTGCCCCATCATTGGTGTCAGTGGGTGTGTGGGAGTAGTGACCCATCATTGGTGTCAGTGGGGGGGGGAATAGTGACCCATCATTGCATTGGTGTCCGGGGGGGGGGGGGAATAGTGCCCTATCATTGGTGTCAGTGGGGAGGAAGGGGGTAGTGCCCCATCATTGGTGTCAGTGGGGGGAGGAATACTGCCCCATTGTTGGTGTCAGTGGAGGGAGGAATAGTGCCCCATCGCTGGTGTCAGTGGGGGGGAGGAATAGTGCCCCATTGTTGGTGTCAGTGGGGGGAGGAATAGTGCCCCATCATTGGTGTCAGTGGGGGGAGGAATAGTGCCCCATCATTGGTGTCAGTGGGGGGAGGAATAGTGCCCCATCGTTGGTGTCAGTGGGGGGAGGAATAGTGCCCCATCGT